CCTCCAAGAAAAAAATTTCAAGTGAAGTTTTCACCTTGAACTTAGCTGTAGTTCAGTCCTTTGTCATCACTGTTGTGTGGCTTATACAGCAGGTGCACACTCATTCCAATGGTGGCCGGCATTCACATCCCAAGCTGGACGCACTGCGAGGCCACTGTCACATCCCAAGTCCTACCCACTAGACCACCACTCAGACTTTGAATCTGCCAGGTAGGTGTGGACGCCTGTCACCCCAGCACTCTGGAGGCTGAAGCAGGAGGATCACTGTGGGCTGGAAGCCAGACTGCCCTACCTATCGAGTTCAAGGCCGGCCTGTACTACATGGTGAAAGACTGTCTTCGATAATGACTGTGGTGACAATTGAAAACTGAATCCACACTGAACACTGGAGAGAATGAATCCATCATGCAGCCCTGCCAGGAGGACTGGGTGAGAGACAATTCCTGTGTCTGGTCCATGCTTCTGTCCAGGAACTCTCAGGAGTGCTAAGAGAAGAAGCCACAGGGTCCATGCTCGCTACTGAAGGCATGAACAGGTAAGCGTGTGAGTGAAGAGCTCAGTGATAACTCATGGGAAATGCCTTGTGGGTAAATGTAGCTGTGCAGAAAATGCAAAGGCGATAGGGGTTTCCCGGGTCCGTTGCACCCCCACAGCACCACCACTACATATGCCTGCCACAGCAAGGTCACGGGAGGCCTGTGTGGGCCCAAGGAAGGAGGCAGCAAGGCAAATGAGACCGACCCAAAAGCCACACGGGGCAGCCCAGGCTTCTGCTCTGCTCCTCCTGGCTGCAAGGCCTTGTATGAGTCACTGGGCTTCTTTCAAGCCTCAGTTTCCCTAAGTGCAAATTCCCCCTGCACCAGAGCTCCTGCAGAGGGTGCATGGGAGCAGAGCAGACTCCTCTTCGGGAAGGAATTAAAATGACATTGACTCGACAGCCCTCGATGGCCCCCTCTCTATCCACTCCTGCCTGTGGTTCAAGTGTCTTTCTTTGTACTGTCAGGCTTGGGACAGGTAATAGCTGTCCACAGTCACTGAAGACAGAGCGAGGCATGTAATGGGGCTGGACTATGTCTGGCCAAGCTGCTTCACACCAGAGGCTGCTGGGAGCATACCATGTCCCCTAAATCTCTGTGAGATGCAGACACAGAGTTCTGACATCCTCCAATGCCATCCTTGGTTCCCGACAGACCCACTCTGCACTGGCACCCCGCCTTTCTGACTTCCGCCTGTCTGTCTGAGTGCCAGGAAACCTGCTCACTGGCCCCACCTGGAGCAAAGGCCTGGGCCATTTCTGCTTCAGCAGAGACACATACACAGCACCAAAAGGGCAAACATGTCTAAGGAAAGCCCTAGGTCCCCAATGGGGTCTAGGAGGCCCCCACTTCTCTGCCAGCCTGGCTTCCGCTCTCCTCTCAGTATCACCAGACCTGTGGCCCAAGGCTGCTGCTGATGCCCAAACCCATTCATTAAAAAGTCAAGGGTTCCATAGCCTGGAAAGCTGGGCTGACTTCCCGAGAGTCCTCGAGCCATCTCAGGCCAGGAGAGGATGCTCCGTGATTAATAATATCTGTTGTCCTTATTTCAAACCATCACTCTGAATTGTTTTGGACAGTTTGAAAACATAGGCAGGCAAAAGAAGTCAAAACCCCTGCGATCCCATCCCCGGGAGAGAAACGCGTATTGCCCACACAGAAGGACGTCAGGGTGGCTTTCTACATCGAGACCACGCCATTGTGGTTTGTAGCCTAATGGCACTGTAAAGCTGCACACAGGTCTTTCCGTGCCATCCCATGGGCACTCGTGCCTTCATTTCCAATGATGCCTTTGTTTCCAATGCCTGCCTGGCACAGACGGACACTAACACACACTTGTCAATTTGTCCTGTTGTTTTTCTCCTCGCCTCTGATCCTACAACAGAAACCACTGCCCACCACCACAAGTGTGAAGGTTTGGGTGATTAGAAGCTCTTCATTAAAAACAAGAAAAGCACACACAGCCCTCTGGTGGGAAGGGGGCAGTACCCCCAACCTTCTGAGAGGGCAACCTGGCCATTAGCCAGTGAGGGAGTACTGGCTGTATCCCCAGTGGACGTCCTCAGAGCAGAGATGCCTTTAAAAAAAAATAATAGAAGGAAAGGTTGTGTAATTGTTTGTGAGGCTCCGCGGCAAATGAGATGGAGCCCTTGATTTCTTACCTCCTGCGGCAAGTTCAAAGTTCCTCCCAGAGAGGCGAGCAGGAAGTGGTGATTGTAAAATTTGCATCCTGTTTCAGCGGTTATTGTCCCAAGGGACGTTCCCCACTACATTCTGTTTGTCTGTAAAGATCTTTCGCCCACAACCTGCCACTTCTCCCAATATTGCTGATATGGAAGCCAGAGAAACACTAAGGGGAGTGAAGAATACTGGAGTCCTAGAACAAATATAAGCAGACGGAAGGGCAGCCACTGTCAGCCCTGGGGCCCTTGGGACAAGCTGGTTCAAAGTCCCAGTTAGGTAAATAAGGGGAAAAGCAGCAAGGAGAGAAAAAGCCGATTGTTGTTAATTAACGAAACCCATTTGTTCCACACACTTTCAGGGGATGCTAATAACCGGTTAGGTGCTGTAGGCATTGTGAATCAGACTAACAAAAGCCCCACTTCCACACCCAAGGCACTAGCAGGGTAAGGCGACAAGATGCCAACAACTTGGGAGACATGGTGTGACAAGCGTCAGGCGGGGGTCCATGCAGGCAAGGCACACACAGAGGGAGGTAGGTGGCACTGGGGAGGCTTCCGAGAGGAAGGATGGGGATGTAGGGGCCATCAAGGGAGCCAGGTGTCCCAGGAAGAAAGTGATTGTGTGTACGGAGTCCCCGGGGCAAGAAATGGCAGGGTGGTCCCAGGAGCCACCCTAGGCAGGCAGCACTGAGCAAGAGGGTGCAGCCTCAGGAGGAGAAGCTGCTGAGACCCAGGACCTGGCACCCTGGGAAGGAGGTGTTTCATGTAGCTGCAAGAGGAACTGCTGGGTTGTAAGCAGGCCGATCCACACTAGCAAGACTCTGGGAGACAGGGAATCGGCCAGAGTGGAACAATAGATAAATGAGTAACTTGTAACACTGCAGCAAATAGTGACCTGGCCTTGAAAAGGACCGTGACACAGCCAATGGGGGAAGGGAGCCACTCCAGGGATTATTAAAGAGATGGTGCCAACCAGGCTATACAGCCAATTGCCACTGGGACTAACGGAGACAGAAGGATGGAGAGAGGCAAAGAGCAAGTCACTGGCAGAACAAGGTCTCCAGGGAGGCTGACAAGGATGCCATGTGGGAAAGGTCCTTCCACAGACTCAGGGCGGGCCACAGAACAACAGGTGTAGAACAGATTCCAGTAGTGCTGAAACAGACTCATCTGTAAGAGGCAGGCAGGCCAGGGAGTCCCCAGGGATCCCACTCCCTAGGGAACAGGAGTACACAGCTGAGAGGAGGACGGCAGGGTGGTAGGCAAGGCTCCAGGATAGAGCACAGGACTGTACCAAAGAACAAGGTTGATCACCACACTCTTCCATCATGCCCTTCTGCCTGGAACCGGCCAACCATGGACTGAACCCACTAAGACTGTAAGCCCAACTAAACCTCTTCTCCACTCAGCTGTGGACGTCAGGTATTTTGTTCCATTGAAAGGGAAATGACTAATACAGTGAGGCATGGGGAGCTGGCCTTCAACAGTGAAAATCAGCAATTAACTGAAGGTCCTTGCAGCCAGCTGAGACAGAGGCCAGTCCCTCAATTCCAGCAGAAGACTTGTAACACTCTACCAAGAGATGACTCATCCTCAAAAGCAGAGTGACAGGAGTCACAGAGGAAGGGAGCTGTGCAGAAGAGTGATCACAGTGCTGTCCAGGAAGGAAGGCAAGTAGGATGGGCCAAGGGAGACAGATGTGAGGACAGGGACTCAGGGCTACTACAGCAGCAGTGGCCACTGTGGCAGCAAGCACTGGTGAGGAAGAAGGGCTATGGACTGTGATCTGCAGTCAGCTGACTGAAGAGTCAGACACCAAACCTGGGGCAGCCTGGAGGTGGTACTGTACAAGGGGTGATGCAAGGTAGCTGACCGAAGTGTCCATGGAGGACAAGGTGCACTGGAAGGGCCGTGACTGACCCCACAGGCCTGGGGCAGACAGAGCTGCCCACTGGGTGCCTGGCCATAAGGTCTTCATGGGCCTGCCTGGCCAGCTGCCACCCTCTGAGCACTGGCCAAGCTGCTGGGGAGCCCACTACTGAGGAGAGGCACTGCTACCTGGAGCCAGTCCCTCTTGGCTCCAGCTAGTGACACTGGAGGCAGCAGAAGACCCAACATCAAGGGGAGACAGCCATCTTGTAAGGGTACCCAGAAGTCTCAAAAGACTGGTGGGGGATTTGAGCCCAGCCAAACTCCAGTCTCATCAAGAGAGTCTGGTTGGAGGCAGGGATCCCCCCTTAGGGTTGGTGTGTCCCACTGATGTTGGAGGAGCTGCCTGAGAATTCCAGCGGGAGCTGGGGCTCAGGACATTGAGTCCTCATGGGGGAGCAAGGCCAGCTGCCTCCCAGAGTTCCCAAAGTCAAACCTTTTCCGAGAGAAGCACAGCTCTGCCAAGAACTTTCGGTGCGACCAAGAGCGTGCAACCAGCCCGTCCACACTCGTGGACCGCATCACCTCCCCAAGTGGTTCCGGTTCATCTTGCCTTGTAACTGAGCTCTCACGAGGTGTCTCCGGCATTTTCGACCCCTGGTAACCCGCAGAGCCCCCTTCCGTGTTCGCCACAATCTTACTTTTTCTCAGCCCAGTTGGAACTCCCACGACCTTGGCACAGGAGCCCAAACTGCACACCCTTTTTCTTGAGGTCCTCAACATTTAACTGGGATAACTTGCCCCATAAATGCCAGCCAGGGGGTAGTGGGTCGGGGTGCAGGAGTGGGTGCTGGGCATAGATGCTGCGCCCTGGCCCTTGCCCACCTCTGTGCCTACCTTGGCCTCCCCACAGGTGTGCACAAGTGCTGCTGGAGTACGGCGCCTCGGTACAGAGAGCTGGGGGCGCGGGCCAGGACACCCCACTGCATGTGGCAGCACAGCACGGCCTGGACGACCACGCGCGCCTCTACCTGGGCCATGGTGCGCACGTGGACGCGAGGAACAGCCGCGGTGAGACAGCACTGAGTGTGGCGTGCGGTGCGGCACAGAGACTCGAGGACCACGAGTGTGGCCTGCACCTGTGCGCGCTACTCCTACAGCACGGCGCGGCAGCGGATGCGCGCGACGAGGACGAGCGCAGCCCACTGCACAAGGCCTGCGGCCGTGCGCACCACAGCCTGGCGCGCCTGCTGCTGCTGAACGGCGCCGACACAAGCGCGCTCGACTATGGGGGTGCCTCACCGCTGGCCCACGCGCTGCAGAGGGCTGCCTGCGCGCCCCTGGCTGAGGCACAGCGCACAGTGCAGGTGTTGCTCAACCACGGTTCCCCCACCTTGTGGCCTGATGCCTTCCCCAAGGTAAGGGCGGTCAAAGCGCACCCTTGGGGTTTTGATACCAGGTCCCGGGCCTGGAGGAGGAAAGCGTGCTGCGCTGTGAAACTTCCATGGGTCCAGACCTCGCCTGGGCAGCTTCTGGGGTGGGAGAGTTTGCACTTACACCAGCCTCCTAGGTGAGGTCAAGGCTGCTCTGGTCTTGGGACCCCTCTTTGAGGTGCAGGGGTTTAGGAACCTCCTCTTGGCTGGGGTCACCCAAAAAGTAAGAGGCTGCATTGCCCATAAGTAGACCAGAATGTGCTCTTCCAAAGTAAGCCCTTGGGGACACCTGGCACTTTCATGTAATGCCCTCCAAATATCCTGTTAGCGCAGCTTTTCAGAGCGATGAAGGTCAACCTTCGTTGCATCTGGCATCTGATCTGGAACAAAATTGCCCCACCTGATTGTCCACCTTGTTAACAGTGGCACTTTACACCTCTGCGTGCGTCTCTCCTTCAGTCCCCGCCCCACAGCCCTGCCGTCCACCTGGCAAACACTGTCCCCCTCTACCGGGGTGACATGCCCCATCCAGGTTACCACTCGGTGGAGACCTCAGCTCTCTGCCTGGAGTTTGCTCTCACAGCTTGACCCTAAGAAACTTGGCACTTTTTCCACCTGCCCGATTTACCCTGAAACAATAATGAGTTGCCCATCAGAAAAAATACCCAAAAGGTGGAATGGGTTTGCAAAAGTTCCCTAAACATTGGCCGGGAGAAGAGAATATCTTCCTCCAAAGAGTTCACTGAAGGGAATCGTTCTATTGGGTCTAAAATTTTGGTGTACTCAATTTAAACATTACTGCTGACACCCAGGACACACCAGTCACCTACAAAAAATGTATTTTGGCCTGGTGATTTTTGAACAGATACCAGAAAAGTGATTACCCTAAAGAGCAGCATTTTCAATGGCCTGAAATAGAGTGATTCCCATGTTTTTCTCAAATGCTTGCTGGGCAGTGTAGACAGGTTCAGAGCAAAGTGCGTGTCTGTACACGGAGCAAGAAAAGTGGAAACCACCAGACCACACCCCAAGTGTCCTCACTTAAAAAACAGTGATCCTCTTCAGATGCTGTCTCACCCTGGCCTTACGTCATGTCCTGTGTGGCTCTGCCAATACACGGATTTCTGTGTGGCAGACTCTGGATCTGGTGGGGAAGATGCCAGCATTCTTGCATTCTGCAAGACCTGCTCCACTCATAACTGATGCCCTAACATTTCCGGTTTCTTAGCTCCCTACCCTGTACCTTGGCATTGTGACTCCTCCACTTCTCAATTCAAGTTGTGTCTACATTAAACCCAGATGTATCCCTCCACCCCTGTTGATACAGAAAACTGCAGGGCTATGGAAAGTGAAATATGCACTCCTCGGGGTGGGCCCCCAGGGGAACTATTGAGGGAGGTCTCTCATAAGGAAAAAGAAAGGAGTCAGTGTGCTTCAGGGGTGATGAAGAACAGTGTTTTGTTAATTAGTTTGCTTGATCTTTGCCCAGGTTTCGGCTTTGAGGGCAGCCTCTCCCTAGGTGTCCCCTCTGGTGGCCTGAACTGTCTCCAAGGCGACAGGAATTCTGCCATGACCTGGAGATGCAGGATAAGGCCCTTTATGGATCGCCCAGAGCTCTGTTCTGGGATCCCTCCCCAGTGCTGCATCAGCCACACATGAAAGACGTGTACTCAGCTCCCACTCGCTGTCCAGGCCAGGCAGCATTGGGGTCTATAGAACAGTGTTAGAGCAGGTATGGGGGGTAGTACTTGGCCCTTTGTGATAGCCTGATTTCTAGTTGATTCCACGCCATTGAGGAAAGAATTGGATTTTCTCTGAGAAACCTGGTTACCCGGATGCTTTCACGAGAAAGCACTGCCCACTACTACCTGCGATGGGCTTAGGACAGGCAGACCTTCAATCAGTGCTGACTGCATGTGGGGGACTCCAGCAGCTCCAGACGGCATGCCCTGTGCTGTCTCTGGACCAGCACCATCTCCCCTCTTTGCACTGACACCCTTGCACCTCTAGGAGGCACCTGGCCAGCATGCCTATCCCAATTGTAAGGATCCTTGGAGAAGTGATGTTCTAACCTTGCTTTGGAACAACCAGACAAAATGCCATGGAGAGTTGAAGACAGCATCTTCCTCTGCTCAGGGTCCCCATGAGTGTCCCCCAGGGAAAGGGTCTGATCACCAGGCAGGACATCAGAGGGACAGTGTAGCCAGAGCCCAGGACACACATGCTCTTGCATGCAGAATTCAGCCACAGCAAGGACAGCCTGGACTCCAGGGTGTCACAGAGCACATGGTCCTTGGACAGCAGCCGTGCTTTAAATAGATGTAAGGAGACACCCGTGGAGCTCAGAATTACTGAGGCAAAAGATTTCCTGGAGAGCTGTGACATAAATCACAGTTCATGCCCAGACAAGAGCGCTGTCCCCCCAGCAGGGGGACATAGAGCCTCCCTCTAAGCCTGACGTGGGGCAGAGCCTCCAGAACCAAAAGGGTGGCCCTGCTTTGGAAGCCAGCATGTTGACAGTGCCAGGCCAGTCTGCCCAGTGCCCACTGGTTCCTGCCAAGGGCAGAGACACCCAGCCCAGGCACCGATGGCCCACTGCAGCTGGGTTTGGATTCTGGATGCTGTCAGGGCAGGACCTAGTGCCCAGGGGCAGAGAGACCCCTGGGAACGTGGGGCCAGCCATGTCAGGCTCTGACCTTGTGCACTTCCTGCCTGGTTTGGAATGAAAGGCGCTGCTCCCTGCTTGCCCCTTCTGACCTGGAAGAGGAATCCCAGAAGCAGCAGTGAGGCCCAAGTCCGTGGCTCTGCTCCTCCCAGCTATTTCAAGAGCGCATCTCTGGTTCAAGCCAACGAGAGAAGGTTGGGGCTGCAGACAGTCTGGGAGGGGCTCATATCCAGTCCTCTCTACAAGGGACACAGCCTCTATGGTCACAGAGCTGGAGGCAACAGCCGAAGTTCCTGGGCCTCAACCACTACCCTCTCAGCCTTTCCTGCTACGTTCAGGTGGGAGCTGCCATTTGTCCCCTGGTACCACCTCTTATCCAGGAGATTGTCATTTGCATTCAACCCATGTGACCAGCTCACCCCCAATGCTCACCCCCAGCTGTGCCCCTGTCCAAACCTTCTCCAGCCTGAGGAGCCACAGCGAGTGGGACTGTACCTACAGGTGGCCCTGAATAACTCAGATGGAGACTGGCCCGTGCACCAGGGGGTTGGGGGACAGCAGCATCCCTGAGTGATTTCCCCCAAACCAATAGGGGTATCCCCTTCCCAGGGCCATCTCTTAAGTGCTTAGTATCCATTCAACAAATGTTTCTTGGAAGCTTCTGTGCTGGAGTTACAATGGAGAATAAGAGTATATGTACTTCCTGCCCATGTGGCGCTGCCTTGTGGGCAGTTAGACACACAGGCATACACACACACACACACACACACACACACACATGTGCACACACACACCCCAGTGCAAAGCTGCCATGGTAAGAAGCATTGCAAAGCCAAAAAGCACATTGTCATGGAGGTGCCAGGTAGGGCCAGATCTGCCTGAGCATGTGGTGACTGACCAGCACCAAAGCCAAAGACAGAACTATGTCCAATGGAACGGGATTCCAGGCAGAAGGAACAGTGTGAGCCAATGTCCTGGGGCAGAACATGGCTTGCAGTATACACAGACAGGAAGAGGACCAATAGCTGGGGGAACCAGGAAGAGGAGCTTGCAGAAACTCTCCAACAAGGGAAGGCCTTCGTTAGAGAATTGGGCCTTTGCCTGGAGGACAGTGGATGTCTGCTCTGTCATTTTAAGTGGAGAAGGTGACATAATCAAATTTGCGTTTGCAAATGATTTCTCTGCTCCAGAGAACACTCAGAAGAAGAGAAAGCCACAGGCAGTGTGGGAATCAGGGGAGGGGGGCAGATGGCTTGAACAGGGAGGGTGGAGGTCGGTGGGGAAAAGGACAGATTCTAGAAGCATCTGCAGACTCCTGGCCTGGTCTCCTACTAGACATGGATGATGCTTAAAAATGAATGGGTATTGGTGCGCACCTCCAATCCCCATACTCAGGAGACGGAGGCAGGAGGATTGACACAAATCTGAGGCTAGACTGGACTACGCAGCAAGACCCAGTCTCCAAAAACCATAAAAACAAAAACACAGAACTCGCTCCGTCTCATTTACGTCTTCATCTAATTCAAGAACGAGGCCAAGTGACTTCACCCATCCACCCCAGACTCACAGTGTCCCGGTGCAGACTCCCGGGCAGTGGTAGTCAAAAGCCAGGCCTGCATTTCCTGCACGGCTCGCTCGCCCCGGGGAGGGGCGACGTGGGAAGATCTCGCCTGTTTTCTTGCCCTTGTTTGATTCCTCCATCTACATAGAGCGCACTGTGCCTGTGTGATTTTTCCCCTTAATTTTCTTTCTGCCGCCTCATTAGCTGAAGAGAGGGCGCGTGGACGCTAATGACATCAGCATGTCAGAGTAATGTGGCAGCCGCCTCTCTGCAGACAGCGAGGAGGCAGCGGAGATTTTTAAACTGTGTTGGCGTAAAAATAATGAAGGCAGCCAGCTGCCTAGCAAACGTGAGGGGCACGACACAGAGGGGCGGGGAGCCCCAGAGAGGTGGAACAGAGGAGACAGAAAATGAATTCCCAGAGACAGGCAATAAGACTTTGTCACAGTCTGTGACCCGGGGGAGGGGGTAGGGGTAGGAGTAGGTAGCGCCACAGCTGTGGCACCAGGGAAACAGCCCTGCCCAGGCGAGGACAGGCTGGGGACAGGCAGGGAACAGCCACACTGCGTGTGGTCCCTGAGAGCCATGTAATGTCTTGCAAAGAAGTGATGGAGCCGATCAGGACCACTGTTTAACGTTGAGGTTAGCAAGGCCTAAGGAGGCAGGAAATGCCCAGGACACAGTCTAAATAGGACCAGAGCAGGACTGGGGGACTGGGGCCATCCCTCCTGGCATGATTCCCCCCCCCCAGCAGAGGAG